GAAAAATTGATGCATGATGTGGTATGATCAGTGGGATTTTGGAGCAACATGGCATCCTTTTATTGCTTTTGCCTATGGAGAAATATCCCCAGCAGACTCTCTCTGCTCAGCTGATGAAATTCTGGAATAGCGCTTTCTGGGAATGAAATTTGAATTGACATACTGGCTGAAGCCCAACTTCTTTTTAATGGGTTTTGTAAACTGTAATTGTGTAATTAAGAACAGCACTAGAGTTAATTAATTTGGATACTCATAGAGTTGCAGCATTGCTTTGATGGTTAATAGTTTTCTTTCTCCTGAGGGCCTTCTCATATTACAGTGAGCCCATTGTATTGGTGGTCTCACCATCTGCGGATTGGGGCTCCCACAGATTGTCCTGGCTTGCCCCATATTAGCCAATGGTGGCATGCACCCATGGGCACATTGATGTGGGAGTGCGCATATTGATGCTCATTGGCTAATATGAGTTTGAGCTCCAATGTTTCCCCATGCTCCATGGGGCCCCCCAGAACCAAACCCCCATGGATGGGAAGAGCTCACTGTACAGAATTATTGTGATATGATTCCACTTTACTTGCCATGATTCCATTCTATGGAATCCTGGGATTTGCAGTATTGGGTTTTATTGGTTAACTGTCCTTGAGTCAACCCTAACTCATGGCAACCTTGTGGATGAGGTTCCTTACCCTCTGCTTAGGTCCAGTAAGTTCATACCCATGACCTCCTTAATCCTTCTAGCATGTTGTGTTCCTCTCTTTCTATTGCCGTCTGCCTTTCCTAGCATTATTGTCTTTTCGAATGAGTAATGTCTTCTCATGATGTGGCCAAAGTACACGAATCTCAGTTTGATCATTTTGGATTCCAGGGAGATTTCAAGCTTGATCTGTTCAAGGACTCATTTGTTTGTCTTTCTGGCCATCCATGGTAGCCTCAGCACTCTTCTCCAGCACCACATCTCAATTTCTTCTTATCCTCTTTCTTCACTGTCCAGCTCTCACATCCCTACATGGTGATGGGGAATATGATGGTTTGGATGATTCTAACTTTAGTGCTCAGTTATATATCTTTACTCTTTAGGGTCTTTTCTAGTTCTTTCATAGTTGCCCTTCCCATTCCAAGTCTTCTTCTGGTTTCTTGGCTTCTGTCTCCATTCTGATCAATGTTTGATCCAAGAAACCAGAACTCTTTTACTATTTCAATTTCCTCATTGTCTAGGTTGAATTTTGTAAATTTGCACTTTAAGGAGGGTTATTTAGATTTCTCAGCCAGAGAGCAGTAGTGCCTTACTGTTGTGTACCTTCAACCTGTATTCGAGTTATAGTGACCCTAAGATGTACATATCATAAGATTTTCTTGGCAAGATTTGTTCAAAGGAGTTTTCTGTTGCCTTCCCCTGTGTTCCCCAAGGTTACTCAATGAGGTTTTTTAAATGTCTGAGCAGGTATTTGAATCCTGGTCTCCCAGAGTCCTAGTTCAACCCTCAAACAACTACATTGTGCTGGTTCTCATCAAACTACAAACCTTAGATTTCCTTAGGATGCAGCCACAGCAGTTAAAGTGAGACCATCGCACTCTAACTGTGTAGTGGAAAATGACCCTATATCTATTAAGAAACAGTTCACTACTTGTTATTTGTTCATCTTTATTACAGCAAATCGAGAATTAAAAAAGAAGGAAAACTGGGCAGGGTCTCAACTGAATCCAGTCCATGTATGCAGCCGTAAATCCAGTTCCTTCTAATTTTATACTGCCCATGAGTTTTCCAAAATTGCATGGAAACATTTGACACTTAAAAAATAGAAAAGGGGCTGAAAGCTGTTTGGAATTGCGGTCAGTATTGATAGTGTGCTTTGAGATATTTATATTTCTTTTTCCTTTCCAGGAATTCTTGTAGTCATCTGGATGCTTTAAAGAAATATCTGATTTTTGGAATTCATTGCTGGATAACATAGAGGGCAGGTATTTTTAATGACAGGAACACAAATTTCCTTGGCACATCCAATATACCAGAACTGATCCACCAGCATCAATGTTGAGCCTATTGATTTCCCATCTGGGGATGCATCTACACTGTAGAAATAATGCAGTTTGACACTGCTTTAACTATGCTCCATCTTACAGAATTCTGGGATTTGTAGTTTTGTGAGGCACCACAAAACTACAAAACTTCTTTGGCAGAGAAGGCTAAAGACTTTGCAAAACTACAAATCCCAGGTTCCATAGGATGAAGACACAACACTTAAAGTAGTGTCAAAGTGCATTATTTCTACAGTCACCCATAGAAGATGGCCAGAAGTGGTGCTGTGTGGAGGTGAGCTTTCCCGAGATGGGGAAAAAATAATCTCTTAGCTTTTTTATTTCATACCCTATAACATTTCATTGGTGAAATTTGGAGACGTGTGACCAAGCAAAATGGCAAAAGTTGTTAATGAGAAAGAACACACAAACTAGGGAACGCTGCAGCAATTTCCTTTGGCCTTAACCAACTGGAAAAGGAAAGACTTGCCACCTCCTGTCTTATTACTAGTGCTGAGTTAATCAAATGCAAACTACTTTTGCACTTTGAACTCAATTCGGAGCTATTGAAGTAAGCTGAGGACAAAGGAGGAAATTGGAAGGACGAGAAAGAAGCTGGGACACTTTAAAAGCAGGTGAACAAATGGGATGACAGAGGATTAATTGGGACTCTTGCTGCTAAAGTGGGACACTTGGAGGTTATTCTCTTTCTCTCTCTCTCTCTCCCCTTCCTTCCTTCCTGCCTTCCTTCCTTCCTTTCTTTTTAAAAGGTGACATTCTGCAGCAGCGGAGAAGGACACTGAAAAGGCAGGGCAAACTTCTTTCATATTAGGATGTTGCTGCTTCAAAAGGAGTAACTTCATTTGTGTCTGATCTCTTACATACAATCCCCTAGATCAGGGAACAGGGAGGGCAACCCAGTGCCCTCCAGATGTGCTGTATAACAGCTCTCATAATCTTTGATCATGCTGGTTAGGACTGATGGAAATTGTAGCCCTAAATCCTAGGTTGCATACCTGTGTACTATGCAGTTCCTTAGAGAACATAATGAGGACATTGGGGCATATATGTGAGTATACAATGACAACAGGTGACTTCTATGTCAGGGATGTGGTGAATCTGCTCTAGGTTACAGTCTGAACTGCAGCTCCTTTACAGTTCAAACTAAAACCCAAAACGGATTCATGGCTCCACTGATGTAGAAGTCACAAACCATTGCTAAAAGATCAGGCAGCTTTAAAGCCCATACAATGCAGGATGTGCCACAAAACTAAGAGAGAGGTTTAGTCTAGTCTATGGAGGATAGATCAAACCTAAAGTCTACCATGATTGAGATGCCCTCATTTCCCCCCCTCCTAGACATTTGAAAAGTGTATTATTCAAGTAAATCCCACTCCAGAAAGTGTCATATCCTCTCCAGACAAATTACTTGACATATTAGTTGCTACATTTATGTGTTACCTTTCTCCCGTGACTGACATGGCTCTCCTTCATTTCATCCTTAAAACAACTTCATTTTCTCAGTTCGTGCAAATTGTTTGCTACTTTGCAAATCAATCACATGATTTTTACTCTGTGCATGTCTGTCATGCACGTGGGTTTGTGTTTTAGGCTGTTTGTAAAGATCACAAAAAATCTGGTGAAGAGGCAGTGGAATGATCTTATCTGACCCGAATGTACTCATTCCAGGAAAGAGTATGGGTGAATGAATTTTCCCCATTCCATGCTTTTATTGTTCCATGAGTTTCCCCTGCCCATTCTTCCACCCGTCCTAAATCCCAGGTTAGAGAATTTCTAAAATTACTGGGGAACTGGCACATACACAGTTTGCCACATTGTGCAGCTCATTTGTTCCTCCCCACCATTACATCTTAAGCAATATATGTGGGCATTGAGGAAATGCCTTTATGATGAAAGAGAACACAAAATGTACATTCGGAGGAACATCCAAATGCATATATGAATTCATGAAATGCTCTTATTGCAAACACACACACACACACACACACACACACACTAATCAGTACATGTGTACATTGATGAAACACTCCTAAGACATACACGCATAATTGGCAATTTATGTGTGCATTGGGTGAACAGTCCCAATACAGAGACCTTCAACGGTTTGGTATGATTGCAGTTGTGACTTCAAGAATGCTTGTGTGTGTGTGATGTTTTGGGAGTTTATTGCATTCTTTTTTTTTGCCCGATCTGGGCACAGGCTGGGGATGTGCATGAATGAGGGGAAATGGACTTTATCACACTCGAAACAGTTGGCAAGCCATCACTATGCCATTGCCTGACCACCACCTGTCTGCAAGCCATGCTGAGCCAGCCAATTTTGCTCAGCCGGAACGCTTCCATCCTTGAAAAATCGGCTTGCTCAGCACACTTTGGGGATGGGTGGTGGTCGGGTGACAATATGGCGATGGCTTGCCGACTGTTTCGAGTGTGATAAAATCTGTTTCCCCTCATTCACGCGCAAACTCAGCCCATGCCCAAACTCAGCCCATGCCCAGAGAATGCGATAAACACCTTGCTGATGGTTCCTTAGATTCTTCTGGTGGAGAAAATCACCAGAAAAAGAATCCCAGTAAAACTGTATGTGCAATTACCTTAGTACTGTTGTTTTTCTTACCTTGTTGTTGTTGTGTGCCTTCAAGTCATTTCCGACTTATGGCAAAGGCAAACTTGTCCCAGGATTTTCTTGGCAAGTTTCTTCAGAGGGGGTTTGCCATTGCCATCAGCTGAGAGAGTGTGACTTGCCCAGGATCACCCAGTGGGTTTCCGTGGCCACACTTTGAGAACTGCTGCTCTTGTGAATGCCCCCTAAATGTGTTGTTGTGTGTCTTCATGTTGCTTCTGACCTATGGCAACCCTAAGAAGATTTCTTGGCAAATTTGTTCAGAGGGGGCTTGCCTTTGCCTTCCTCTGAGGCTGAGAGTATGGACTTGCCCACCCGAGGTCACCCACTGGGTTTCCATGGCCAAGTGGGGAATCGAACCCTGGTCTCCAGAGTTGTAGTCTGACACTCAAACCACTCTGCCATGCTGGCTTTCTGGCCCCTAAATTACAACACTAGAACTCCCTCATTGGACCTAAGCAAACTACAAACCCCAAGATTCCGTAGGCTGAAGCCATGACAGATTTTTTAAAAATGGAATCACACTGTTATAATGGTGAAGTATTGATAATTTTCTCTTCCTCTCTGCAGTGGAGACACACCTTTGAAAGAAGTTTTTATTTTCAGCTATAATTTCCATTCCCTAATGTGAAAAATCTGGTCCTGATTATCTTAGTGCCATCTTCCTTGGTCTCAGTAGGTTTGTACCGCTTGGCATCCCCCAAAAGGATTTGGAGCCCATGTGTTTTGCCTAAGCATGGGCAGCCCAAACTATTTGTGTGTACTCTTTTCCTCTCTTTCGCTCTACCATGTGCCAGTGTTTTCCAACTCTCCAGTGTGCCAGAATAATAAAACCGAGTTGTTGTTTCTCCTTGGTGCATGGCCTGGTTATTTATAGGCTTAAAACATAACAAACTTGAGACTGTTATTATTTATTGCACAAAGACAGTGGAAAATTCTTAAGTTGGGGTGATACCGCAGAGAGGTTTTTTCAATTAGTCTCATCATGTTTTATCCACCATACTCTTAATTTTACTGGATGCGAGTGTCGAGAAGGCAATTTTCCTTCGCCTATCCCCATCCGTTCCTCAGCACAATTCAACTTGGGAGTTCTTTGCTTGAATATTAGTTTCCAAAATGTTTGATTTAATTTTTCAAACAACGATGACAACAACTAAGCATGACACTTTTGATGTACCAAGGCAATTGTGAAAAAGAAAGCTGATTTTAAATCAAAGCCAGGACCCAGAGGAATAAATATTAGATGATGGAAAGACATCTACCCACACCTAAACTAAGTAACCACTCCAAGCAGCCCAACTATGGACGTTTCCTCCTAGAGGGTGCACCGCACTGTAGAAATAATGTAGTTTGGCACTTCTTTAAATGTTATCGCTCCATGCTATGGAATGCTGGGATTGGTAGTTTTACACAGTTTTTAGCATTCTCTGCCAAAGAGTGTTGGTGCCTCACCAAACTACAAACCCCAGGTTTCTGTAGAATGGAGCCATGACAGTTATAGTGGTGTCAAACTGCATTATTTCTGCAGTGCAGATGCACCCCTTGCCACAGGAGGTGAATGCTGTGTATTTGTGTGTGTGCAATTTTGCCCAGTTCTGTTACAGACCTTGAATTCTATGTGCTCATCTTTATTCACTTTATAATTGTTCACTTGTGTGTCACACTGCCAAGTTGAACATCATGTCTGGCTTAGAGGGCTATGGTACTTCTCTGGAATAAAAAGGATTCTCTTGCAAGCATCTCCCAGTGGACTACCTTGGTAAGATTATATGTAAATCAGCGAAGGATGCAATATTTATTCATGCGCCTCATAGTGTATTAAAGAGGATCTTCTCATTTGTAAGGATTTTTCTTGCACATTTTGCCTGAAATGTCATTTCACAGCATCGTCATCACTTTTAGAAAGTATTCTTACTTACATCCCCCTGAACTCAGAAGGGATTGCTTTCCATAGGACTGTTACTGGCAAAATGAAGAAACTATTCTTGAAGCATTCACATTTCATTTGCAGTTTACATTTCCAAAGTAATGATTAAATGATGTTTTTCCTCTGCCGATTAAAGAAGAAGAAGAAGAAGATATAATTGCATGTCACTAATGATTACTCTGAGTCATTGTAAGGAATTTTCTGGCAATGCTGTCTAAATTTGTAGCATGATGCACATGCCCTCCAACATTTCACAAACGAAAACTGGGACACATGTGGCCAAGCAAAACTAGAGTGTGGTCACAATGGCAAAAATGATTAATGATGAAGAACAGACAAGCTAAGCAAGGCTGCAGCAGTTTCCTTTTGCCTGATCCTACTGGGAAGGGTAAGATTTGCTCCCTTCTCTCATCAAATTTGGAGGAGTATCTAATACTCCAGAGGATAGGATCAAAATTCAAAACAACTGTAATAGATTAGAAAGTTGGGCCAAAACTAACAAAATGAATTTCAACACAGAGAAATGTAAGGTTCTCCACTTAGGGAGAAAAAAAAATGAAATGCACAGACACTGGCTTGACAACAGTACATGTGAAAGGGATCTAGGAGTCCCAGTAGACCACAAGTTGAACATGAGTTAACAGTGTGATGCAGCAGCTAAAAAAGCCAATGCAATTCTAGGCTGCATCAATAGAAGTATAGTGTCTAGAGTGAGGGAAGTAATAGTACCACTACATTCTGCTTTGGTCAGACCTCACCTGGAATATTGTGTCCAGTTCTAGGCACCATAATTCAAAAAGGATGTTGGGAAGCTGGAGCGTGTCCAAAGGAAGGTGACCAAAAGGTCTGGAAACCATGCCTTATGAGGAGCTGAGTATGTTTAGCCTGGAGAAGAGAAGGTGAAGAGGTGATATGATAGCCCTGTTTAAACATTTGAAGGGATGCCATGTTGGGGATAGAGCAAGCTTGTTTTCTGTAGTTCCAGAGAAGTCGGAAATGACTTGAGGGCATACAACAAGTACAACAAATTATACACTGCACTTTTGCTTTACTCGCTGTACAATGAGCTCCTAAAGAATGATAGCACAATTATTTCACTTTTGATGCCACGGTTCAATCTTATGAATTCTGGAATTGCCAGTTTAGGGAAGCGTATTTAGAATTCGGAGCCAGAGCCTTCCAGTGCCCAAACTACCAAATCCATGGCAGTCAAAGTGGACTAAGAGTGATAGAATTATGTACCATGAATGGGCTCCAGATCACAGTTTTATTTCCTCCACCAAGATCTCTATTGTATTCCTGTTGAAAATATAGTTATCACCACATTTCCATTTCTGCATCCAAGTTAGCAACTTGCAGTTTTAATGCAGATCTGTGCTCTTTGTCCTCTTTTTGTTTTTGGTGAAACGTTTGCTCTTTTGGGGATACTATCTCAGTTCATAGGCAGTGGGACAATGCTTGTTGAAAATCACATCCTGTTAAGATGAATTTGTACCACAGGAAACAGAGATAAAGATCAGTCGTCTTCATCCTTTGCAGATGTTTGATCCAACCAGTAATTTAGGATTTATTTTTTATTCTTAATATGGCAACTCTCTTCCTCTTCCTCCTCTTCACACCTCTCTGCCTTTTTTCCTTTCCCTTTGATATACACGAAACTGCAGACCTGTACTAGTTTTCCAACATGGTAGAGCCAGCATGGTGTCGTAGTTTAAGTGCTGGACTAGTATTTGAATCCCAGATCAGCCACAGAAGCCCACTTGGTGACCTTGGGCAAGGCACACACTCTCAGCCTCAGAGTAAGGTGATGGCAAACTCCCTCCAAACAAATCTTACCAAGAAAAACCTGTGATCATTTGCCTTAGTGTCTTCATAAATTGGAAACAACAACACAACAACAACAGCGCGAGTTTCCTGCATGGCTTGTACTATAGATTCAGATATTAGACCTTGATAATTTATTTCATTTCATTTGTATGCTGCCTTTTCCCAAGAGGGGCCCAAGGTGGCTCACAGATAAAAATATTTAAAAATCTCAGTAAAATTCAAAACAATTAAAATCATCTACGCTCAATATAACATCGCATAAAAATATACCAACGTCAAAAGCATAACTAAAAGCCACCTGTCCCATAAGATGATGAAAAGTCTCTTTTAGAGAGATAGACTCATAAGAAGCAACATTTGTACATTTCCAGGTTTAGGGTGAATTTTCGATTTGAATTTTCGTGCGATGCTTTGCTGCTAGGCGCAAAATGGTTGCTATGTCTTCATATAGAGATAGAACAAAATGTCTACGTTTATTTGAACATGGATTTTGAGCAGATGCAGACATTGGAGTAGATTGAACTCCACAGGGCATGTTGTGTCACCAGAATCACCAAATTGACAAAGCTACTTTCAGTCTAAAAAAATGAACAAAAACCTGTCAAGAGCAAGTGTGGTGTCATGATTACCAGTGTGAGACACGGGCTCCATCTACACTGCAGACAAAATGCAGTTTGACACTGCTCTAACTTCCATGGGTCCATGCTATGAAATTCTGGGATTTGTAGTTTTGTGAGATATTTAGCCTTCGCTGTCATCAAATTAGGAGGAGTGCTACAACAAACTACAGAGCACCAGTGTTCTGGTGCTACAACAAACTACAAATCCCAGCATTTCAATAAGATGGAGCCATGACAGTTTAAATGGTATCAAACTGTATTAATTCTGCAATGTGGCAGTAGCCCAGGACTGAAAAGGCTGAAGTTTCATTATCCATTCTTCCATGAATCTCACCGGGTCAGTTACTTTGATCTGACTGCTATGAGTAGTAAATGAGAATTGAGGTGGAGCCAGGAAAGTAAATAGAGTATAACTATTTTTCCTCTCTCTCTGAAGAAAGCAAGATATGAGATGGTAAACTAGTATCTGGTTATGTGTATCACTTCAGGTTATGGGCATGTTTTGGAGTAAATTGATTGTACACCTCTTTGCACAAAATAAGTAAAAGAAAGAAAGAAAGAAAGAAAGAAAGAAAGAAAGAAAGAAAGAAAGAAAGAATTCACCACACCCAGAAAAATAGCATCTCTCTTAAGTGCTGGATTTCTGCATGCAAGGGTTTGCGGTTGTTGTTGTTTGCAGAGAGGAATAATTTAATTTCTATGTCAGCCCACATCTGGAAACGGACGTTCAGTTATGTCTTTGAAAGAATTCCTAGAAGCTTTTGGTTGTGGCTTGATGGTTTGGTGGCCAGTCAAGGCAAGGGGTTTTGAAGAGAATCTGGAAGATTTACCCTTGGATTTTATTGCTTCCTTTTTTGCTGGCTAAGAACCCTGTGGCTTGAGAATGATCCCCCCCCCCCCCAACACCTGTAAGAGCATGCCTAGGGAGGAAAAGAAAAAAAGAGAACAAGTCAAAGGAGTTGCTAAGCTTGCTTGTTTTTCCAGATTACAAAGCAGCTCAAACAAATGCTCTCTTGTGCAGCTGGGCACTGAAGCTC